AGGGAACCTAACATCAAACTTCAGAGGTTAGCATCCAGCATGGAGGATCCACCGCTGGTGTCAGCACGCACAGCTGCTATCCCCAAACCAAATCACTCTAGTCCTCCTGCTCATAAATTCATTCCCCTGTCTGCAGCACTTCCCATATGGGGGGTTGCTTTATGGTGTATCTGGGCCGCGTACACCTCCGCCGATTTGCTAGAGGCGGCGGCACCGGCTACAACATCTCCAAAGGTGGCAGCTTACGCTGCGGAACCTCCCGAGGTGGCGGTGCCCGCTGCTGTGCTCCCAGAGGCCATGGTGTCCACTGTAGTCTCTTCAGAGGTGGCGGCGCAGGCTGCAGAACCTCCCGAGATGGCGACACTTGCCTCAGTTCCTTGCGCGGTGGTGGCGCCCAGTGATGATCTCCGTGAACTGTCTGTTCCGGCCGAGGAGGCCATTAATGAACTTTCGTATGCTCGTGTCTGTGAACTCTCTGCCTGTTCTGTCACGGCTATGGAGGAAGTCTGTGAACTCTCTGCCTGTCCTGTCATGGCTATGGAGGCCATCTGTGAACGCTCTGCCTGTCCTGTCATGGCTACGGAGGCCACTTATGATATTTTGTCCTGCTCTGAACCGGCCGAGAAGGCCATCTCTGAACTCTCGTCCTGTTCTGAACCAGCCATGGGGGTCGATTTTGAACTGTCTGTCACAGCCCAAAAACCTGCCTTTGAACCCTTAACCCTGCCTATCATGAGCCCAGAAATTATAGATGCACCCCATGTCTTTCTCGTTACCCCTGGCACTGCCATAGAGACCATTCAGGAACTTTCTACTTGTTCTGTTTCCCCAAGTGTGTCTAATTTTGAACTATCTGTCTTGCCAATCTCAGTCAAGGAGTTAAATTATGAACGGTCTGTCCATATAGTGTCAACCCATGAATCTGTTCCTGAATTATCTTTCTGTCCACTAATTTCAAATAATATGTCTGATGAACCTTCTGTTGGTCCTGTTTCAGTCAATGAGTCTGATTTTGAACTATCTGTCTGTCCAGTTTCAGTCACTGATATCTCCAGTTCCTGTCAGTGAGCCTGCTTATGAACTGCCTGCCCCTCCAGTTTCTGTCAGTGAGCCTGCTTATGAACTGTCTGCCCATTCAGTTGTCATCAGGGAAACTTTTGATGGACTATTTGTGCACCCTGCCTCGTCCCTTGGGGCCATAAAAGCTCCTGCTCTGTCTGTCTCGTGCGTCTCAGTGTTCCTTAGGTCCCAGTCCCTGCCATGGTCTTCTGTCCCGCCGTGGTGGTTTTCTGTCTGGCTCTGGTCGTCTTCTGCTCCGCCTTGGTGGTCTTCTGCTCCGCCGTGGTGGTCTTCTACTCCGTCTGCTCCGCCGTGGTGGTCTTCTGTCTGGCTCTGGGGGTCTTCAGCTCCGCCGTGGGGATCTTCGGACTCATCTGCTCTGCTGTGTTGGTCCTCAGTTCCACCTATCCTGTGGGTTCTGCCCTGGTTTCCTGCTCTGCCGGCTCCACCCTGGCTCCCTGCTCCGCCTTGGCATCCTGCTCTGCTGGCTTTGCCTCAGTCCCCTGTCCCTTCACTTCCACATGGACTGCTCCACCCTGGTGTACTTCTGCTCTGTCTGCTCCGCCCTGGTGGGCTTCTGCTCCGTCTGCTCCGCTCTGGAGGTCTTCTGCTCCGTCTGCTCCACCCTGGTGGGCTTCTGCTCCATCTGCTCCACCCTGGTGGACTTCTGCTCCGTCTAATTGCCACCAGAGGTTGCTCTTCCATTTTAGTGACTCTCTCACTACACAGACTTTCACATGTCACCCCAGACTACATTTCCCAGCAGCCATTTCACTAATCACGTGTTCACCTGAAACCAATCACACACACTATATAACACCCACTCAGATCCTGTTCAAGTCGCTGAATATTGTTTAGCGTTTATCGCTCATCTAGTGATACTTTACGGAGCCATTCCAAGTTCCTGAATCTAGTATAGCCTTGTTCTTAGTCTGTTTACCCGTGTCTTGATCCTTGCCTGTTATCTCGTTTTGTCTGATCTCTGCCTGCCCTGAAGTTTATAGCCTGTTTTGGAATTAACCTTTGCCTTGCTGTTTCGGGCTGTGTTTGCACCTCGTCTGGACTCTAGCTCGTCTTGTGGATTCCCCGTTTGCCTCGCCCTCAGGATTACGTTCACCGTCGACTGACTCACGCCTTCCTTTGGATACTCTTTTGTCTTGCCTGAAATTTACCTGTTTGCCACTGTTTGACCCATGCCTGTTTTATGACCACATCTCTGTCTAATAAAAGCCTGCAGATGGATCCGCACATCTCACGTCTCGTTCGCCCCGTTACAACTACTACTAATAACAGTGGTTCATCAGGTTACTGATGTTGTACTGCTATTTTTTTTAACACAACTGTAGGTTTGAGTCTGATCTATTTTATGTCCCATTCACCTTCTCTCTCCTCACATTGTCCTGTCTGACCTCTAACTGTCCTATAAAGAAGACAAAAATCTTTATAATTAAATATCTTTAATGAAAATGTGATGGAGAAGTGACGCTTTATTTCACTCTTTTCAATGCAGATCCAATTGGATGGGGCTGTGTGCTTGTGTTTCTGGAGATACTCTGGGCCATTGTGACGTTTTCATGCTATTATGGTTTTAATGCTGAGGGTGCAGTATTGATCATCTTCTGTGTGATATTTTTCTGCATCATCATGAGTACATGTACAGTTAAAGACTTGAGCAGCTCATGATAATAAACACTGCAGAACCTTTTCCGGGCTTTGTGATATCACAAAGCGGCTCATTAGAATATAATTACAAATACTTCCCGCCTACAGAAATTCGAATGGTTGGGGGGTGAGAAGGGGCGAGGTTGTGGTTAGAACGCTTGGTTGAGTGACTGCATCAGACGAGACGACGAAGAAGAAGAGCTGCTGCAGAGTTAGCATCAGAGAAAACCAAGAAGAAGAGCTGCTGCAGAGTTAGTGCATCAGAGAAAACAAAGAAGAAGCGCTGCTGCTGTGTCGTCG